ATCACTGATGGAGACAGCTGGCAACTCAAGGCCGTTTTGTGCTTTCTATAGTTCATAGTAAAAATTATGAATAGATGAAGGTGATCGGTGAATGGTTACTAGTTCCCCGTTGCTAATTAAATAGTTAGGGTTTTTGTTTGTATACTGTATATTATACTACGTACTATGGTAAACAAACGGCCTTGAGTTGCCAGCTGTCTCCAGCAGTGTTCGAAGAATCTTAACACTGTACCACTCGACTTCAGGTACAGATTACTGTATTGTAATTTTATCCTGTTATCACAAAACTTCTTCCATTACAATATTAAGGAGAAACTGTAGACAACTGTGTTCACCCATAGTTGATATGGATGATAACATGAAGTTGGGAAATATTGGTCGTTTAAGTAAAAAGACAATAGATCAAGAATGGAATACCTCCTTTAAAAAGGGGATAGAGAACTGTTGATTAACAAGATGTAACAAAGTATTGGTATAAAGTTTGCAGAGTAAAGGTGTGACAACGACCCATCTCCAGCTGCCAACAGCCACAATTCAACTGACAGTACCACCCCTAGAAGATCTCAATATCGTTTGCCTGCCTTATTTACACAAGATTTTCAGGATATTCTAGCATTTCTTGAAACTATATAGTCCAATAAAATGAAAATTAGCCTGACATCATCATCGATAATAACTAACCACGTAACTAGTCAGCAACACAATATCTGTCAAATTAGGTAACCATGAACTATAGTGTTCAGTCGGCTGTAAGTCACGGACACCTGGCGATCACTAGAAAATGTTTTGCACAAGATCTGTGATATAACTGTGATATAACTGTGATATAACTGACGGCTGATTGAAGTTTATCATCAATAAGAATGTTTTATCTGTACTATAATACCCAACACTGTACCAATAAACTCAACACCAGCTGTTAATACGTCTGTTACGTCACACTCCTGATAAAAACACATTAAAGTGTAGCATAGAATATTTTCTCACGACTTTCTGTTTCTAGACTGTCACCTTTAAAACGCGAGCTACACAAACACACACCCGCACAAGTGCAAACAAACTGTACTCATAAACGTGTATCTAAATACGTGCGCACACAGACACACATACACACACATACATCTGAGACTTAAACAAAACCAAAAATAAAAATAAAACAAAACAAGCTTCTGAGAGAGCCAAAACACTCTGTCTCACTATTGTTTAGAGATTCATGGGGCGAAAGTCTTCACACACTTGACACCACCACTGCTAAGGTAGTTTTCAGTACACTCCACAAGACAACATCACCTGCCACTATACACTAATGACGGCCCACACAACACTATACCTTAACACACATAACTAACACTGACTTAACTAACACTTAAGCTAATTTTCATATACTAAGTATGGTGTAGCAGAAGGTGGTGTTAGCAAGGGTAGTGTTAGATAGGGTAGTGTTAGATAAGGTGGTGTTAGACAGAGTGGTGTTAGCAAGGGTAGTGTTAGAGGGGGTAGTGTTAGATAGGGGTAGTGTTGAAGTAAGGGGTAGTGTTAGATAGGGTAGTGTTAGAAGTAGGTAGTGTTAGTATGTGTGTTATATAGGTAGTGTTAGATAGGGTAGTGTTAGCAAGGTGGTGTTAGATAGGGGTAGAGTTAGATAGGTGTAAGTGTTAGATAGGTAGTGTTAGCATGGTAGTGTTAGATAGGAGTGTTAGCAAGGGTAGTAAGTTAGATAGGGTATGTTGATAGGGGTAGTGTTGATAGGGTAGTGTTAGGGGCAAGTGGTAGTGTTAGATAGGGTAGTGTTAGCAAGGGTAGTGTTAGCAAGGGTAGTGTTAGATAGGTAGTGTTAGAAGGGTAGTGTTAGAGTAGGTAGGTGTTAGTAAGGGTAGTGTTAGATAGGGTGAAAGTAGCAAGGGTAATGTTAGATAAGGTAGTGTTGATAGGGTAGTGTTGATAGGTAGTGCTGGATAGGTAGTGTTAGATAGGGTTAGTGTTACAGATAGGTAAGTGTTGATATGGGTAGTGTTAGATAGGAAGTGTTAGATAAGGTGTTAGCAAGGGTAGTGTTAGATAGGTCGATGGATAGGGTAGTGTTGACAGGGTAGAGATAGGGTAGTGTTAGATAGGGTAGTGTGGAGATAGGGTAGTGTTGATAGGTAGTGTTAGGGATAGGTAGTGTTAGATAAGGTGGTGTTAGCAAGGGTAGTGTTAGATAGGTAGTGTTAGCAAGGGTAGTTAGATAGGTAGTGTTGGGCAAGGGGTAGTAGTTAGATAGGGGTAGTGCAGGTGGTAGTGTTGGATAGGTAAGTGATAGGTAGTGTTAGATAGGTAATGTAGATAGGGTAGTGTTAGATAGGTGGTGTTGGATAGGGTAGTGTTAGGATAAGGTGGTGTTAGACAGAGTGGTGGTTAGATAGGTAGTAAGTTAGATAGGTAGTGTTAGATAAGGTGGTGTTAGCAAGGGTAGTTAGATAGGTAGTGTTAGATAGGTGGTGTTAGCAAGGGTAGTGTTAGATAGGTTGTGTTAGACAGTGGTGTTAGATAGGGTAGTGTTAGATAGGTAGTGTTAGATAAGGTGGTGTTAGCAAGGTAGTGTTAGATAGGTAGTGTTAGCAAGGTAGTGCAGATAGGTGTAGTAGTAGTAGATAGGGTAGTGTTAGCAAGGGTAGTGTTAGATAAGGTGTGAGGACAGAGTGGTGTTAGATAGGGTAGTGTTAGATAGGGTGGTGTTAGATAAGGTGGTGTTAGCAAGGGTAGTAGAGATAGGGTAGTGTTAGATAGGGTGGTGTTAGTAAGGGTAGTGTTAGATAGGGTGTGTTAGAGAGTGGTGTTAGATAGGGTGGTGTTAGACAGAGTGGTGTTAGATAGGGTGGTGTTAGATAGGTGGTGTTAGCAAGGGTAGTGTTAGATAGGAGGTAGCTAGAGAGTGTGTTAGATAGGGTGGTGTTAGATAGGTGGTGTTGGAGTGGTGTTAGATAGGTGGTGTTGGGACAGAGTGTGGTGTTAGATAGGGTGGTGTTAGATAGGGTGGTGTTAGACAGAGTGGTGTTAGATAGGGTGTTAGATAGGGTGGAGTTAGATAGGTTGTGTTAGAAAGGGTAGTGCGTTAGATAGGGTAGTGTTAGATAAGGTGGTGTTAGACAGAGTGGTGTTAGGGATAGGTGGTGAGTTAGGGTGGTGTTAGTTAGGGTGGTGTTAGTTAGGTGGTGTTAGTTAGGGTGGTGTTAGGTTAGGGTGGTGTTAGTTAGGGGTGGTGTTAGTTAGGTGGTGTTAGGGTTAGGTGGTGTTAGGTTAGGGTGGTGTTAGGGTTAGGTGGTGTGGAGTTAGGGCGGTGTTAGTTAGGGGTGGTGTTAGGTTAGTGATGTTAGGTTAGGTGGTGTTAGGTTAGGGTGGTGGAGTTAGGGCGTAGCTAGGTTAGGGTGGTGTGAGTTAGGGCGGTGTTAGGTTAGGTGGTTAGGTTAGTGTGCTAGGTTAGGTGTTAGGTTGAGGGTGTTGAATAGGTGGTGTGAGTTAGGGCGGGTGTTAGGTTAGGGTGGTGTGAGTTAGGCGGTAAGAAGTTAGGTGGGGAGTTAGGGCGGTGCAGGGGTTAGGGGTGGTGTTAGGTTAGGTGATGTTAGGTTAGGGTGGTGTTAGGTTAGGTGGTGTGAGTTAGGGCGGTGTTAGGTTAGGTGGTGTGAGTTAGGGCGGTGTTAGGTTAGGTGGTGTTAGGTTAGGGTGGTGTGAGTTAGGCGGTGTTAGGTTAGGGTGTTAGGTTAGGGTGGTGGAGTTAGGCGGTGAGAGGTTAGGTGGTGTGAGTTAGCGGTGTTAGGGTTAGGTGGCAGTTAGGTTAGGGTGTGAGTTAGGGCGGTGTTAGGTTAGGTTGTTATTCATATCTTTGCTTTATTCTCAAACAGGATTTCTGGTTGGTTAAAAATCGTCGCAGAGTATTACTGCCATCCGTCACTGGCTGCTGCAACTATGAGCTGTAGAAAAAAAGTAAAACACTCAGCCGGAATAACAAACAACAGTATGTTACTAATATAACAATAAGCTGCCAAATTTGAGTCCATTTTTCTTGCCAAACTGATTCCAATTCTCAAAATTAGCAGGTTAACTATTCCAATTTTAACATGGGATGAAAGAACCTATCTACTTATGACCGAGTCTGTATAAGTTGGAGGTATTTTCGCCATTGGGGGGTGCTGGTGGTTGAGTGGTACCGTTTTGCCTTCGCAAGCGAGATGTCACGGTCTGATTTCGCCGGTAGTTGTTTGGACATACTTCCTAGCCCCCATTAGTCCCTGTTCACCTAGCAGTAAAGTAGGTACCTGTAAATCGAAAGATGCGAATTCAGATCAGGGACAAGTTGTTGGAGCTTCCAACAACTTGATGACATAAACCATTGACTCTTCAGGCTTCTACGCCCTTGACTCTTCAAGCTTCTACGCCCTTAACTCATGAGACATAAAGGCAAGCATGAACTTAGCATGCTTCCCTGTTGGGCACTGTAAACTCTTCTGCGCTTCACCCACAAGGATGTAGGGTAGTGCCCCAAAAAAGTCATTATCCTCTCGCAAAGCTTAAATAATCGCGGTAGACGGATTATAAATTCTCCATTTTAGGAGTAAAATTTAACGAGGAATATTTTCAATCACCAACGCGAGTTCAGCAACATAGATCAGAGCTAGACGAGAGATATAAGAGCAAAGAAAATAATTACTTGGGAGGAGTGCTGACTCACTTGATCAAGAGCGACGATCGCCACTACCCAAGATACCTTAGCCGCCTCTTTAGGGAAACTATTAATAAGTTTTTGTTAAGAGCTCCGTTATATGTTGTCAGACGACCAGGCTTCGTCCGTGACGTCTGAGGCCACTGACTCTGACAACAAGATAGGTGCTGTTCAGAACTTGGATGAGGTTCAACACTACTGACTGACTAGTTGTAGTCGCTCACAAATACACATGGCTGTTTCTTATACTCTGAATATGTAGAGAAATAATGAGTTCAAAATCACTGTCTTCACTAAACAACTTACGTCTCAAAGGGTTAATGATATATAACTAACATAAAAACATAAAACATTTGTTAACGACAAATACCGTCTAGCTAGCAACAGTCTTGCTCTCCTGGTCGTGGCATTTTGAACGCTGTGGTTACCGTAGAAAGGTTATCATATAATTTACTATAAAACCGCTTGAATGTAATCCAGTTATTCAAGAGAACAAATACTGTTATTAATATTTGGTATTTATAATAAACGACATTTCTTGCTTGCAGGATTTATGTCGACGTACAGAGACTCACTCACAACAAGTCGGCACGGACACACCCTCGGCATACATCATCACGCTAATCTCACGCTAAGAAAACATTAATGACGAACAGTCAACAGACTCCATTCATAAAATCATGTCAGAGAAGGTTTGGTCTGTACTGTGTCACTGACATGGTCATACCTCGCTAGCAACTAGGTGGTCATCAACCCCAGCCTCGACCACCACTCTTACTGTCACCTCCAACACTGAACAATAACTAACCTTACAAAATGTCTCCAACATTCGACCCACCGAAAGCGGTCTGTTCGTTTGTGTCACACACACACACACACACACACACACACAGAAAGACAGAAACCAACAACTGCTGAGTCGGTCGTCGGGCTTAAGTTAGTAATTAACTAGTACCAGCGCCTGATAAAGTAACAAACTACTAACTCATACTTGCTGCCTTATAAATGTCAATATGAATATAATTTATTATAAATATTATATAATAAAATCCATAATAATAATAATAATAATAATAATTTTGAAAAGCAAAAGTGGGTGTCTGTTATAGACAGTGAACAGCACAGCAATCTGTGTCACACTGTGGGAAAAATAACAAATATACTTTTGTGTGCATAATAATTGTTATCTTCCATTTCTAGCTAACTTATACATGCATATTAATAAGTTTATGGCCGAGGAAAAATTTAATAATCGTAACCGATATCTCTATAAAGACATCAGTTTTATTTACGACAATATAACCAATACAATGAAAGTATTTAAGATACTGCATTTGTGGAATTGTCAAGATGTAATTACTTATACTCTATTATAAGTAAAACATAACTCAATGTGCAGTTCAGAACCATTGATCACCATATACAGTTCGATTAAGATTCTGAACACTGCTGGAGACAGCTGGCAACTCAAGGCCATTTGTTTACTAAAGTACGTAGTATAATATAATACGAAACAGCAAAGCCCAACCATTAATTAAGCAACGGGAACTAAGTAACCAATCACCGATCACTTTTACATTTATCATAATTTTTACTGCGTACTATAGTAAACAAACGGCCTTGAGTTGCCAGCTGTCTCAGCAGTGTTCGAAGAATCATGAACGAGACTGTATATACCCATCCTGTACGTTATCCACTAGTGGGTAAAGTACAGTACAGTACATCTTAGTTACCTCTAGACCGACCGCTACACCACACATGGACCATCTTTACAGTTGTTTCTCTATTCCTTTCACTTTCAAGTTCTCTTTATCTTTCTCGTCGTGTCATTTATTTCCACCATTGTTATGTCTAGTCTCTGTATAACAACACATTCATATAAAACAATATATTCCCTTATTTAAATATATTAATAGAGACGTAGAAGGAACTTGATATTTTGGCGTAACTCTCTGGATGGTCCGCAGGGTGCCAAGATCACAATTTGGTCTCACTTCGAGTCGGAGTATGTACTGGGCCGCAAGATTGTCTTCATGTGCAAGGCTGAGGAGAACCTCGTCCAGTCATCACCTGGTTTAAGGACGGCATCGAGCTTTGCCCATTCATTCTTCCAGGTTAGCCTCACACAGGTGAAGTGCTCCTACTGCACACACTTTACCACTTCAAGGTCAGGCTCAACACAAATCACAAGGTTCCAGCTACAAACTGTTACTATTTCCAGTCAATCTTTGCATCATTCTAGGTTCCACCCAAAGACATTGCCATTACTTGCTCAGTCTTTAGAATAATCACTAGGTTCTATTTTATACATTACCACTTCTAGGCGAGTGAGTGCACCAATAAAACGTTTCCTCTGCACACTTACCATTCATTCCCTGGCTAGAATTTACAACAATATCCGCCCGCTGAGACATTACCCACATCCAGGTCAGTCTCACTGCCCGAAAAGGATTTTCAACCATGTCAAAGATCCTCGAGCCAGGAAGGGTATCATTGTGAGCCAGTTGGTGTATATCTCAGTAATACCGATAGACGAAGGAAAAGAAGGGAAGGTGTTCTTGTCCAACGTTAAATTTACTCCACACAGTAAACAATTCTCGGTGAAAAATGGAGAGAAATCGGTCACTTTACTCTAATTCTTACACTCGGCCAAATTGTCACTTGTTTAATGTTTAGTTAGTTTGTATAGTAGAGGAGTGACAAAAGTCAGAATTATATTTTAGTCCATGTATAACTTAAGGTAATGTGACCAATCATAACCTTTCCAGCCCTATTAATTGACTAATTAATGAACAGTTTTCATATGAGAGTAATTTTAAAATCTGAAATTCACCATTTTGTTTTAAATTTCGAGATCAAAGTCTTTATAATTAATTACCATTTTCCCATAATGTTTATAAAAACTTTATGTACTTTGTTTTTAATTTTACACAAAGGTGATCTACAGTTGGATGAAGAAAAATGGGATTTAAAATGACAGTAGCAAAACAATGATGGGTGTGTCAAGATATAAATGTTTGTTGTGCCGTAAACCACCACACACTTACAGACCACTTACTGGGTTTATAACATACACTGTTAACGTATAATATCTGAAAAATACACCACTTAATTTTCCTATAACGTCACGAGGAACAAGGTACTTAAATGTGGCGTGTTATCACCGTAGAGACGTTCACACTATACAGTATACATAATATTGGTATAACTTTCTAAAGGTAAATTAATTTTCCGGTTATTCTATTATATACTGTACAAACAAATTATGAATTGCTTCCTGTACTATTATTATCCAGGAAACGTCGAGATTAGTCAAATATCCCAGAATCAGTCAGCCATGACTGCAAATGTTGTGCACAACGAGATTGTTTAGAGCACTTTGGTGTTTGGCACCAAAACTTAGGTCATAGTGACATAAGTTCACCTAAATCATAAAGGTAATGAGCTGTATGTCCACAGGTGCATGAGTGGAAGGAAGGCACGGTGTCCATCAAAAGCAAGATGGAGATCGACCCAGCCACTCAGGATGGACGCCGGCTACTATGAGTGTCAGGCAGACAACAAATACGCCGTGGACGTGAAGGGCTTCAGCGCCGACTACTCCATCGAGTTTGTGTGAGCATCCAGCCAGGTCCCCACACCCGACTCCTTCACACCCACCACCATGACCTACAACTCGACGTCTGTTGGGAGCACTGTGGTTGACTTACCAATACTGGAAAGAAGCGACCTGTGGCAGCTACCAGGATCTGTGTTTGCTCTGGCGTTAGGATTTTCTCCACTTTATACTGGATAGGACGTGGTAGACGGCTCTGCCGACTAGTTCCCATCCGCGACTCACCAAGGATGGAGGCTTAACAGAAGGATCAGTCACCAGTAATGACATGCTGTCTATGTAGTAACCTCGACTCAGGACATGCTGTCAGAGAGCAAGTTAAAAAATATCCAGCTTAGGCGGTGTGAGCCACACGAGAGGCAAGTTTGTTAGGATATCAGGTCTATGTTGAGGCTGGGTGAGGATAGGTAAATTCACTAGGTAGAGAGTACTATTCACTACAGCACGGATCACGTTAGTAGTTAGTATCTTAGTGTAATGGAGTAGTTGGAAAAACAAGAATATTTCCAAAAGTATATCAAAGTCCTGTGGTTGACAGATTACAAATAGTGGGTTAATGGGGCACCAAAGCCTTGTCCGTGTGGACAGATGAGTAATGTACATTCAACAGCTGCATGGCGGTGGAGCCCGCCACGGCTACCAAACTGTGATGTGAATGAAATGGGTTGAAAAAGGTTTTACACAAGCGAAGGTGTGGTCTCAACACTGGAGCAAAAATAATCTTCTAAACTACACCTAACCTGATGAACTGAGACCAGGTGGATGAAGAAGATATGACCACATGTGGAGAATGATAGTAATGGATATATTACATAAGCCTACAGCAGTGCATACAGTAATTACTCTTTCATATGTCGCAGAGTTTTTCACCGATATCAGTCTCGATGGGTCAAGCCTGCACCCCATGGTAACTGTGAAACACACACGCGTCTAGCCTCTTAAATCTAATTGTTCAATCTCCACTAAACAAACGTAGCTGTGTTAACTAACCACTAGTCTGATAGAACTTTCATAGGGGTCAAACAAGGGGTTTAAAGTAGTCACTATACCATTTTTGGACCCTGTGTATGTTTGAGCGCAAGCGTAAAGAAGACGTTTACAGGGTGTCTCCGGCCCAAACAATCCGTGTTATGCCACCTTTCAATCCCTGACCTTTGCTTGAATAATTTTCAGGTGTTGGAGAGATGTCAGTATATCTTTCCCAAAACACCTGGATTTTTGTAGCCCAAACACACCACAATCGTCGCATTACATAAATATACACAGGTTCCAAGTCAATATCTTACCTACTGTGAACCCCTGACATGTTCTCCTAAAGCAACCGTAAACCTATGTAGTTTGTTCAGTCTCATCAAAGCTTAGTTTTCTTGAGCCACACTCTATCTTCTCTAATTCTGTTTTACCTACACAAGCACCTCACTGCTCTCTCAGCCTCACCACGTACAGTAGTTCTGTTCACGCCTCTGCCTACCACAGTCCTGTACACTTGGTTTACTATTAAATTATATGAAACATAAAGTAGCTTTGTTCATCCTACATAAGACCTGACGGCTTCGTTTATCCTTCCGTCCTCTAAGCTTTGTTTAATCCCCAAATTTAAAGTCCTTGAAGCAATGTATAGCCACTCAAGCTTTCTTAATTTTCTTCAGCCTCATGAAAATATTCAAAATTTTCAATAGGCCAAGCCTGGAGTTTTTGTTCGCTGGTATCCAAACTTTAAGCCTCAGTTTAGCCCCATTCAAACCTTCAAGGCTTCGATTAGTCTCTTAAATTTTCTTTCACTTTGTTAACCCCAAAGTGTTCACTTCTGCCCAAAGCTCACACCTTTATTGAACGCGGCTTCTTTTCTATCACCATGTTTATAAAGTGTAGGTTGACCCAGGCCTGCTCAACACCAGCCACAACAAAAGCTCAACCCAAGCCCGTCCAACACGGCAGTTAAGTCCAGTCCTTCTAGAGCTTACGTGTCCTGCTCACACAGCACCCCTATCCACACCTCCACCACCTTCCTCCGTCCCAAGCTTCTTCACTTCGTTACCCAACAGTACACACACAAACCCATAACTGAACCTCAAGTCTTCAGTAGACATATAGTGAGTTATATTTTTCGAAATACTGTACAGTCCATTTATTCGATCACACACACACCCTCACTACAGCCCGTGTGTCAGACACCTGACAACACACACCCTCACCAGCCCGTTGTCAGACACCTGACAACACACACCCCTCACTAGCCCGTGTGTCCAGACACCTGACAACACACACCCCTCACTAGCCCGTGTGTCAGACACCTGACAACACACACCCCTCACTAGCCCGTGTGTCAGACACCTGACAACACACACC